ATTTGGAATCGTTGGAAGGATGATGAACACCGTTTACGTTGGAATAGCCCATTGGTGCAATCAATGGTTCGGCTCGCGCTGTTCTGAACCAAAGAAGGTGAACGACAAATGGGTGTAACCGCTGCAAGAAGTTTTACACAGGATGAACAACCAGGATTGATTAGCAGAAGCGACGAATAAACTAAATGCCAAGAAACGCGCGCGAATACCAGAAGACTGTTAAGTGCAACAACGTCCGGGCGTGCGTGGGAAACTGGGGACGTGAGAAATTTGGAAAATGTCAAAGTGTGAAAACGGGGAGAAAGATCACAACACAGTGAAAACGATGGAGATCTCCAGTCGTCTTACGGTCCTAAGAACAGACGGCGTGGGAATGCGAAGCGTGGATTGATCGGCTTTTGCGATTAGAGTTGACACGTGCGGCCCTCTCCGCCATGGTTATGGAACCCGCAATAAACCTAAATGGATTATCGTAGCGCTTACTAACATAGGTACTTCAACGAAATTTGTAGCCAACAAGCAAGAAGAATGGCCAACAGAACCGGAAGGATAAAACCTGAAAACTAGTCCAACTTGATGTTAACTGCTCTCTGGAACACCCACCCGCATTAATCCATCATAATCTACATTGAATAACGCGGCTTGATATTCAGTCTACCCCCGAGCTGACGAAGGTTTCGTTTCAAACACAAAATACTTTGTTACTTGACGGAAGAAACCATTTTCAGGACGAACACTTTGCCGTTTGTCATTGTTAGTCCAGGGAATTGATGTGAGCTCTTCTTGGTAAGACTGAAAAGTTTTATGTGAAATAACCTCTTCCAAAAAGGAGTTAAAAATATGCATGATTCTAGGCTTGGACCATTTAATTTTGATGAAAAAGTCTAGTTTTTACATGTTGATCCCTGAATACTCCGTTCAGCGGTTCTTTGAATAGGTGCGCCCTTAAAATTCACCTCTTCACCATCAGGTCTAAGTAGGTAGATTTTCCACTTAAAAAACTAAATCGATAGCCCTCTTGTTATCCATCTAATTTCTTCGCAGAGAAATGCCATCCCAGAAAAATGTCGTGGGATTGAGGAGAGGCTTAGATCTGAGCCACGTCAATGGGGCGAGTAATGTGAAACGGCCAAATATACTTCTTTTTTCCGGCTAGATACAAAGGTTCTAGAACTGTGTATAAACCTGAAAGTAGGCTATCCTCTGGATTACTTGAGCCAGCCTGCTGGAGGCGTGTGGCTACTCGAGCAGACCTGTGAAGTTTTGAAGAAGAGGTCTGATTCTCAATTTACTGACACAGATAAGATTACAAGATATTCTTGGATCCCCATCCAAACTCTCTTTTGAAGGTCAAGTTGACCTACTCATAAAAGGTGATGCTTCATGCCCGTTACCTATACTGAGTAGTTTGCATCTCCTGTCTGTCGAAAAAGATTCGAATCAGTAAATTGTTGGATAGGAGTTCAAATGCCATATCATCCAGATTATTAACAGTGGATGAGATAATTGTCTAAATTCTTCGCTGGAAATTCTACTTAGAGGTCTCTACCAACACCCAGAATACTGCTCTATGTTAGAAAAAGAGTATTAGAAGAGCAGTAATCCCAAAGCTGCATATTTCTGGCTGTGTTATGTCCGAACCATCGACAGAAATATTGCATACTGTGCACAAGGAGGACCCACGTAACTACCAGGTCTTTGATCTGGATCGCACGCGAAACCTTGCGCAGACCTGCTACGGAACTTTTTCAGCTAGTACACTCAGTGTTTAACTGCTATGCCAACTGAAAGCAACACGAGAGCTGAGATACAGCCAGGATGTCCATGCGCTTTCGTTCTACATTCGAAACGGAAGTGTTCTCGTTTGACAGAGATATTTCATTTATATTCTAGAAAAGCGATAGGTCCAAATCCGCTCGCAACCGGAACATCAGTCTCATAGACATGGTGATAAATATGAAAATATTTTCTTTCGTTCTACATTCGAAACGGAAGTGTTCTCGTTTGACAGAGATATTTCATTTATATTCTAGAAAAGCGATAGGTCCAAATCCGCTCGCAACCGGAACATCAGTCTCATAGACATGGTGATAAATCTGAATGCAAAATATTTTCTGACTAAAGCCTCCCTCGGTAGGGTATGCACATGTCTGCGGGCTCGGAATGGGGCTACACCGATTAGAACACACCAAATTCTAGTAACTTATTACTGCATTTTTGTGGGCATACACGCTCATAAATCTAGTGGACGTCAGTGGACTCCCCTGCGATAACTCAAACTGCTTAGTTGCGACACACCCATGCTTTTGATATCGAATCGACAGTATTGCGAAGGCTGCAGTGTGAGCATGTGGCCGAGGACCTAGTGACGTTGATCATTACACCGCGGTGTAGCAGAGACTGCTCCTATCTTCAGACCGATTTAGCCATGCCATCGTTTGTTCACCAGAGGCGTGGGGTTCGCCACGAACATGTGGATATCTGACCTGGAGTATTTTGAAATGGTGGTTGTGCTCGGTGACTTGGACCACTATTAACCCAAAATTAGTAGTATGTTGCAAACCGAGTTTACAGAACCAACCCCAGTGAAACAAAACGTTTTTCCACATAACTGACAAAATCAAAGCCAAATTGGTGATAGAAAACTTTGGAAAGGAATTTTGATAGTGAAGTAACACTTGTGTCAAAATGGCTTGGTTCTCAAGTCTCATTGAAGAACAAGTCAAAAGATAAGGTTAGGATAAGCACCCACAGTTTCAAAATAACACTTCACGACGGAAGGCGTCTTCCTGGATGAAGAACAGTGCTGGACTTATGCACCAACTTACCAGCTCGCGCGTGCAATGCGCAGCTACCTACCCCCCCCCCAATCATCGGTGAAAGAAACTGTGGCAGCTACAACCAGTGTACGACCAGTACGCGGTTCTTACAGCTGACGGTGATGATGATGATGATATGGCCCAGTCGCGCCCCCAATGGCGCTTATGCATCCAAGCTATTCCCTTCTCAATCCCCCCACTTAACAGTCCACCTACAGTGCTGTATTTAGGGACTAATTTATCAGCTCCCGCCTCCAATGTGCAGCTACCTACCTAACCCAACTCCCGAATCATCGATGAACGAAACTGTGGTAGCTACAATCACCGTACGACAAGTACGCCGTCATTACACATGACAATGATGATTATAATGATGATGATGATGACAATGAGGATGATGACGGAAGCCTGCCTCAACATAGGTCATAAAGTAGTCTCAAAACCGAAGTCCTAGACAGTTACGCCTCATTAATCCCTATATTACTTTATGGGTGTAGAACCTAGGCACAAAGGCGGGATACACGAGACATTGGCGCTGTCGGATCGTACTCAAATTAGCATGAGTGGTCTGGCTTCCAAGGAAGCAGACAATCAATAACCTGCCTGTACACATCCAGTAACGTTGACCGCAACGGTTTGAACACCGAAAATCGGATGCGCATCTTGTGAAAGACGAGGATTTGAGTATCATATCGGAATGTGTCCATAAGGCCATTCAGTCAGTCTACTACTCGCGATTTTCGGATTTTCTCTAAAGTGCCAGTAACTATCAGCCGCTCTAAGTGATATTACCCTGAAATATAACAGCCGAAAGCATCTCTACCTTTTCATATGTCCCACTGTCAATCCCACCGAAATCGATATTCCCATCGTCTTCGCCCGATTTCTTCGGCATAATTTCCAGGGCGCTATGAACCATTGTGGATTTTCACACCTTCAAAAGTTTCCAGCAAGTGAGAACACCACAAAGGAGAGATTTAGCTGCCTTCCTCTCTCGTTAAATTGGTATGCAGATGAGTGTGTAGATCGAATTTCGTGCAATTTGGAATCAAGCAGAACATAAGGTTGACGGAAACTCGGGGACTGCGCCTACCTGATAAGTCCCAAGAGGGGCGGGAGGCCGGTCATGGCCTATCGGTTGCGCCTACCTGATGAGTCCCAACAGGGGTGGGAGGCCGGTTATGGCCTATCGAATGATTTTCAGCAACCTTGTTAGTAGTGCACTACGCCTATCCAATTTATAATCCTGCTTTGTAAAATTTTCCCCACATGCCCTGGGCTCATACTGTAAAATGACCGTTATACGTGATCAGGTGCTTCATTCAGCCTTGAACCTGAAAGCAACGGGTGCATACAAGAACCGAGTAAGTAGGTAAGCACCAAAATCTTGTGTACCTAAATGTCACTTCAGATCGATCGATCTAATGGCGCAACTTTCCAAAGCAAATTAGACCACACAAAGCAAGTGCCAAGCACACTCCTGAAAGAGGCTCAACATCGTACAAAGTCAAGCCTATTGTGCCAGCTTTGACGATAATCCCAGAAACAGTTGCCATAGCACACTGCTTCAACCACCCAATCCAAAAAGCTTTGTCAGACTGAGCTACGGCAAGCGGACCGGTCAGTAGTACATCGCTTGTCAAGCTCCCGTTACTGATCGATTCGTTTTCGGAGGATTGTAGACAGGAGCAATGAATAATCCATGATCTTTGTGTCAGCCGTCTCACGTCTAATGCAGTATCCCATTCGGTATGCACTGAGCTGGTGCAGCACAAGAATTGATTCAAACAGTTTGCCACACTTAGCAATCGATGATCAGACCCTTGGTCTTTCTCGACAAAACTGTCCTCAGTGCACAACAGCTTCAGCTGTGGACAACCGCGTTCCACAACATTGTTGTTGACCGTTTTCAGACGGGCCTGTGCTACTGACCAAGTTTTTGGAAGCACATATTGGTACCAAACATGCAGTGAATCCAGTAGACCGATTTGTTCTAGCACTGTGGTCAATCGTTCAAAACCATGCTCCGATGACCGACAGGCGGGGATCTGTTGAGTAAGGCAGTTGATCGAACGTACAAATAAATTCTCATCAACGGCCCATTTATAGACTGGCGCATGACCCAAAATAATTTCCGCACTGAAACCTGATTGAACTGATCTTGTCGAAACAATCATCTCGAAAAGTGGGTGGGGAATAAGTAGTTTGTAGGTTGAATGCATTTGTGGCTCAAGCCACCGGTCAAAGCACACGTTCCCCAAACTGCTAGTGAGATTAGTTTGGTATCGGGCAACAGTGAAGGTGACTCGTCTTTGTGCACCCAAATTCTTGGGAAGCACCTGCGATGACTTTGGCCAAGTACGGACAGTTCGAATCTCGTCCCAAGTAAACGAGACGTTTTGGACGGGCTGTATATGTTGCGGGGAATTAGCAGTGACAATTGGAGCCACTATAAAGACAGGCTTTTTATATTCTACTGAGCTCTGACTTTGGAATACTTGGTGGATTCCAGTGAACCTGTGTAAAGATGTCGGTGCAGTCATTGGTGGTGTTATTGTTTCCACATGGTTTAGATGCTCTCTTGAGCAGTGATTTTGAAGGACCTGGTAGATTCCAGTGAATTTAACTAGAGCGTTCGGCGCAGTCATCGATGGTATCACCGTTTCCACACGGCTTATAATAGTGGCGCACATCATCATCATGTTTGAATGGTAGGAGACCACCAACGGGTGACGAATTTCGTCCAAGTTGTTAATATCCATGGGACCTGTGATGATCTGATCAATGGCTGGAAATAAAGTGTCTGAATTGTTCTCAATGATATTTAGTGGTATCTGCGTTGGGATGTAGCACACAGTACTCGTGGGCAGCGCCCTCTGATATCTGAAGGAAACTGTATTTCGCTCAAGCATGTACCTGAACAGACGAGAAATGGAGTATGCAGGAGACAGTCCATTTAAGCTACGACTTTCACTGGAATGGCTCTGTGTGCGAGCAAGGCGGTGAATGTGATCCGGTGTATGTAGAAGTTCTTTCACTGTGGTCCGCAGAGCAACACACACTCGATGCTCAAATGAACAGTTGCGAAGGTGTTCTAGCGACAGTTTTGTAGGTGTGCCACGAATGAGACGGAATATCTTACTAAATTTTGGTACTTTTCCACTTGCTTGATAGTGTAGTCTGTTGGGTTTGGCCATAGCTGAAGTGGACTTTTTTAGAGGTTCTCCCGCATTGACGGATCCACCCTGGCTGGAACATTTATGTGTATTCACGCTGCTAACACACCGAAGAGGTTGCTTATCCAAGGACTCCCATTCTTGAGTGAAATATTCCAACTGTATGGTCGTAGCTTCGTGCATAAGTTTAACTGGGGTCCTGTAGTCAACAAACAAACGCCTCACGCTGGGCGCGTTATCACCTTCGTCGAAGGTTGGTGAATCAGTAGGATTCGACTTCGGTCTTTCCTGGGTTACAACAACAACTCTGGGCAAACTAGGCTTTCGGAATTGAGCGGGCCTGAGCAGTTGTGGAGATAGTGACTTCCGATATGATCGATTAACTGTGTCTTGCCTAACGACACAACGACTGATATGCACCCCGCATGCGGAAGTATTTGAACCTGATTGCACTGGGGATGTCAATATCGAATGTGACATCTGTTCATGTTTTAAACATTTTGTTGTATTTCTGAATGTGGTAATCGGTGCATTCCACTTAAAATTTCGAATTAAACGTTTGCCTGATGGTTTGTCTTTATCAGGATCAGTACAACGGATGGTAAATCTCGGGAGCTTCTTCCGTGTTCGTGGCGGTCGGGGGCAGTTCACAGGCGTATTTGTATCACCCGTGCATTTGACTCGCATTCAACATGGACAATGACGTGTTGGCATGAGTTAGGCTGAAACATTCTATCACGACACCCATTTGAAATGCGACGTCATGTGACTCGAACCGATCAATAAGCAACCCCAAGTGCCACGTGATCTTCAGTTGATGTTCTAGTCATTTTCGGAGACAGGCGTGGGCGAATTGAGATTGGCTGTTTCTCGACTGGCATGGGAATTCACGGCGACCTCGAAGGGTTGCAGAAACACGTAGGAAACAAAATCAGTCAATTTTGGTGAGGAACTGTACAAAAAATAGTAACGGTAAGAGCTAGCACAGTCAACACTCGCACATCCGACACACCATTGTCTGTCATACTGGGTCAGGTGTGAAAGGTAATGGCAACAATGAACACTCAACGCTACGTACCACCCACAAAGTGCACATAAAGTACACAGAGTCAAGAATGGAAAGCAAAGACACTAACACGCTGACTGTGACCTTAGGAAGTCCCAGTCCAATAACAGCCTTGGTGGACTGAGCTAAGCAGATCCCTCGATATGAGATGATCACCGATTGGTGAACCAAAAAGACGGCAACACGTAGGGCTGAGATTATGGTGGGGGGACATTTAACACCACCATACTTGTGCTTCTTCTCACTTTATTCTCGATCGATCGTCGCCTGCTCTATGGACGTTCAGCTATGAACTGGGTGAAGTAAACCCATTTGAGACCACCCGGTATTTCGAGAAGTCAAAATGTGGGAATCAGCTTGGATGGAATCATGTACGAATGAAAATATTGTTTCGTGTAGCCAAGATGGATCCCGAATACCATTCGACGTACTTCAGAAGTGCTGATCCAGTGTTCCCACCAAATTCGGACAATAATCCGAAGACGTCGGTGGTCAAACACTGAGTCTTTCGACGTCCTCGGCGCGCAGCGGCCAGGTTTCTGACCCATATAATAATATGGAGCGCACCGCAGCATTGTAAACTCGACGCTTGACAGAGAAGCTGATGTCACGCCTGCGCCACAGGTGACGTAGGTTCACAAAAGCTGTACTGGCCTTCCCAATCCGGATGAAAATATCATCTTTCGCGAGACCGCCGGGACTGATACAGCTGCCCAGGTCAGTAAATTTGTCTTCTAGCTCAGTCGGTTCGTCCACAAGCATGAGGCTAGGGTTGGAGCCCACCCAGTCTTGCAGTAGCACTTTACACTTTATCGGTATGAAGCGCATGCCGAACCGTGAGGCAGAACTATTTATATTATTTAGTATTGTTTGCATTACCACGGGGTCAGATCCAAGAAGAGCTATGTCGTCTGCGTACTCGATGTCTGTGAGCGGAGGCCCAGGAAGCACTTCGACCCCACAGGCATTAGATGCTGGTAGTGAGTCTTCCACGATCTCAAACATTTAATACCGGAACAGTTTGATCAAGGTCAATCGACTGTGCCAGTCACAGGGTGGCTGACAGAAAAGTCTACCGATTTAATTGATTCATTCCTGTAGATACCTCCTGACGCAAGTAGTCTTACTTATTTTTCGATACTTCATCCACCCCAAAAATACGAAGAATTCCAAGTGCTACCCACAAGGCTAACAACCAAATCCCAAATAGCATAGCGTATTTCATACAAACAAGAGATTCAGGTGATATTCAGATGAGACACCCGCCATCACGTGTAAATGAGTGTCCATCGTAACACGCGTACAATATGGCGTTCAAGTACTACGTAAATTGCATAAAGATTCGGGGATTAGTCCTACTCGAACCCCTGAGAAGGGCTAAATTATCTGTTTAGAGTTTCAATCGAAATGGCGATTAGATATGAAGAGTATCTTTCCAACTGAAACATGAGACGGTCGTTGTGCAATTCCTTCTGTTGAACAGCATTGTAAGCATAGAGTGTACTCGAGATGCTACAACTTCTGATATTATTTCGATGAAACTGTCTGGTTGAGTACTATTTGATGTATTATACGATGAACCTCCCCGAAACATTGTAAGAAATGATGGCTAATCGATGCCAGTGGCGCTCGTGCCATCAGTTCCCAGATTATTGAATTGGGCATCTGGAGGTGTACGCATCTCGGAATGCTTGCGACGTGCCAGAACCAAGCCCCCTCCATCATCCACACTTTTCTCTCCTTTAAGGTATAATTAAATAAGCGTTGCGGTGGTACGATAGAAAAGTAGCAGTGTCAATACTGATTAGCTGTCTGTGGCAATGAGTACGATTATGCCATCAAAGGACTAGCCACACAGGAATATCGTTACCTCCAGAATGTTGAGGTTCACTTACGAGTTCCTAGTTATACCAGGTTGCAACTGAAAGGCAGGTCTTGTGGAAGACATTGTGATAATGCTTGCATTCGACTATGAATGGCCCCCATACGAAGTTGGTATTTTTATTCGGCTAGCAGTCAAGTAGAAATCGAAATCCAGAGTGATCGCCTGATTCTATCGCGTGCCGCGAGTCAGAGTTGTGTTGTCCACGTGTACGGTGCTTCAGTGAGCGCTAATTGGGAGTGTATATTTTTGAGAAGTGCGTTCGGTGTCATACTGTGTTTTCCGGGCCAAACTGATAGTGGATTCTCGCTTTGCTAGTGACCTTCGGTGTCACAATTAAGATTGGATCCATGTCCTGACTGTGTGTCGGTCAAGCAGAAACGATTGAACGGCCATCCGGGGAACTCAAAGAGTACTTGAGAACCATCTGTATGGCAGGGGGGGGCATATACTTCATAAAAATGATTTGCCTCAGTTGTTTGCGTCCATGTGCACTTTATGACCCATTTGCTTATTGTCTCAAAAATAGGAACATCTCGTTGTTTCTACATACACCATACATGATCATACAGAGCTATTCTGCGGATCCTTGCAGATAACCTTGAGAAAGGGAGCAAATTAACTATACTTGATCAATCTAAGAAGAGCACGAGAGATTGCCGGAAGCCAGCTCTGCTGAAGGTCATCGTCCTCGAAACAACATAATGGCACACTTTTCCATCACGATAGATTACCCGTTTTCGGATGAATGGCATACTTCTGACAAGAAATACACTACCATTTTCGAGAAATACACATTCGCGAATTAATTTGGTTTGCACGAGAGACTCAACTGGATCTCTCGTTTATTATATTCTACATCTGAATGTGCTGCACACAGTCCGCCTCATGATTCGGTTGGCACGATATTCGAGATATCGCAGTACATTTTCATAAAAGAAACTACTCACAAAGTTGCTGAAAACTCTTCGACAGACCACGGCCGGTTTCGCCCTTCTTCGGATTCATCAGATAAGCCCAGCCCCTGAGTTTCCGTTGACCTGATGTTCCACTTGAAACCACGAAATTGGCGAAATACACTCAATTACAAACAAATTTGGTTTTGCGAGAGACCCACCGTTGTTTGGTGTTCGGACCCTGCACTGTGCCGACCAGTGACAAAATTCGCACTTGTTCGCGCCACAAACGTGAACTATTGGTGTATTTTGCCTACTTTTCTGTACACAGCAGCCTAGACTTTCGAACCCAATTCTTCCTTCTGATATTAGGGATCGTTAAATCTATGCGCGACTTAAAGTGCCCTATCGGGAATCTCAACAGACTTGTCTCAAAAATGTATGGTCATGTCATCCGAGGTTGTTCTAATTGCCGTAGTTAAAACTAGGTCTTTCGAAAGAACGCTATTTGACATAGATCGCTATTGGTGAAGGGAAGGTCTTTGCTGCGGAGTTATTTATTAGAAAATGCCAACTGACCAGTTATAGAATATTGGACAGGGAAGCAAAACTCATTTGCATCTTATTTACAAAAACTGAACATCCATCGTCTCTTGAACTCGTCTTATCGAATTGGCGAAATACACTCAATTACAAACAAATTTGGTTTTGCGAGAGACCCACCGTTGTTTGGTGTTCGGACCCTGCACTGTGCCGACCAGTGACAAAATTCGAACTTGTTCGCGCCACAAACGTGGACTATTGATGTATTTTGCCTACTTTTCTGTGCGCAGCAGCTACTCGCATGCCTCCCCATCAGTAGTATCACCGTTATATCGGTAGTAGAAGTACTTCAGTAGTCCAGTATTTAGATAATTTGGCGACGGAGAATTCGGAAGTAGCTGGGTTTATTCAGTGTTCGCTGAAGCGTTGTCCTCCCCCAACACACACACACACACACACACTACTCTCCTGTATGCAGTCTTTGGGTCAATCAACCGGTAGAACTAGCAACCGTTCGGTCAGCTGCCGCTGTATACTTGTTTTGTCTAGGTAGCAACTCACTGAGCACTAGTTGGTGACCTCTTGTGGTCCCTAATGCAGCTTAGGCAGTTTGGCTGAATTCGAGTTGTGTGACGATCGTTTTTACTAACAAGGAGTAAACGCTGGTCCATCTTTTGAGTTCGCACATCACCCACCTATGTAAGTCAGACCAAATAGGTCACGAGAAATGAAAAAAATTAGCTTTCCAAAGGGCTCATTAGAGTACCAACTGGTCCTGGTACACTGTCAGCAAAAAAGTCTGAACACAGACTCTAAAGCCACTGGAGATCCTACATCTTTCAATCGTCTAACTATCTACCACAAACCTCCTCGGGTCACTACTTGGTTTTGAACAAAGCACTTGGTAAACACAGATCAATCGCGGAGACGGAAACCGGTAGCAAATCAGTGACCGAACGTCCATACTGTGCCAAATTTCAAAAACAGGCGTCATTCCCTTCCATAAAAAACAACGACAATGGTGTGTGCGGTGACACACACAGACACGCGCGCGCAACTAGCACGTTACGTTTTATTTCATTTTGACTGTACATGGAGCATGGTGGCCATGAGTTCCAAATCAGGAAGACTTCTTTTTCAGTTTGACTCCAAAAGTGGTTCGCTGAAACACATGAAAAAAGAAACAGGGATGACAGAGACCTGATTAGAAGCATTCTGAAATGCTTCTGTGATAAGAATACACTGCGCCTGTAAAGCAGAAGCCCTGACAGCGTATAAAATCATCATCATCACCAGAGAGGACAAAAGTGCTTCACTGTCGTTCAAGCAAGTCAAGTTATCTTAATAAAGCCTTATAATAAAAAGAAGAAAAAGGGAAGGGGGATCTAGGTCCAGCCTATGACAAACATCCGAGGTGCCCACATCTCAAACACCTACATCGCAAACACTCGGTTAGACAAGCTGGAGAAGAACTAGGAGCATGAAAGTCACTGACATTGGTTAGCCACCATATCGTTCAGTGTCTCCAACCAAGCGCAATTACGGTCACGTGAATCCTATCTCGGGATAGCACACCAAACCTTTCGCAACATCTTTCATTTCCATAAAGAAAACTACTCACAAGGTTGCTGAAAACTCTTCGACAGCCCACTACCGGTTTCCCCCTTCTTGGGGCTCATCAGGTAAGCGCAGTCCCCTATGTTCTACTTGAACCCAAACTGCACTGTTTTCGAGAAACACACTCATTTGCAAATCAATTTGGTTAGCACGAGAGATTCAAGTGAATCTCTCGTTTATGATATTCTACAACTGAATGTGCTGCACACAGGCCGCCTCATGTTTCAGTTGGCACGGTATTCGAGATATCGCAGTATATTTTCATAAAGAAAACTACTCACAAAGTTGCTGAAACCTCTTCGACAGCCCACGATCTTTCATTTCCCTCTGTCATACCAAATTCTATTCACCTGTAGGTGTCCGCCACCCTGAATCAGCAATGAAAAACAACGCTCGTCCCGGTAGGCCGTAACTCGGCACACGGTCGAGCAAACGTAATTTACGGTCCTAGATGTATTCTTCGAGGGATGTGCACTCTGTCCCACCAAAACCCGCCTCCTGATCGCCTCATTGTGAATCTGTCGCTTCCAGATACGGTTCTGTGACGTCCGCCGTCGAGTACCTGAAGACATCTCAGAACCCCCGTCCGGTGTGGCCAGGTCCAACAGCCGTACAACCCGCACAGTAACCGGGTGCACGCGTCCTCGGAGATCTAGTGAAATGCCATTGTTATCTGAATACCAGGGGTTTGGAGGCCTTCTACTGTCCACCTCATTGTCTTATCAATGACGGACACCAGTGCATGCAGGACAACTTTTCAAGAGGTCGCCATACAATCTATCGCGCTTACAGGTATGTGAGTACACACAGCATAACCCGTGCACAAGCCTGTTGAAAAGAATGAACCGGTCGACAGAATCGAACGCATTCTAGTAGTCGAAGAACACCATGTTTGTAGGACGCCTATATGCATCCCATTGCTCTAATACTTGACGCATTGTAAAGATATGGTCTATAGACCTTCTTCCAGCCTGAAATCCTACTTCCTGTTTTCGGGCCCCGTCTTCACACACCTTCGATCGACGAGGTAGAATGCAGTGTCTACTTACAACCGGAGGTCAAGCTGATTCCTCTGTGTTTGCACACTCACTGAGAGCATGGTTTCCGAAAATGGACACCGACTCACTCCGGTCGGCTGGAAAGGTCTCTTGGGACCGTCGTATTGCTGATTGCAGTGCAACAAACACCCCCGGCCGAATCTCCCGATACTATCAACAAGTAACTGAGATGGAGGAAATAGGTTGCGGAGACATTTCATCTGGGAAACTATCGCTGGAGGAGCCAGTCAACACGTGGCCACATGAGGTGGATTCCGTCACTGAAGAATGAGTGGTACTACATCCCGCATGAGTGCGAGCTAGTCATACTGCTGACAAGCCACTCGTTGAGTGCCCAACCACTATCCGCAAGGTCACGAGTTCCAGGTTCCTTGAGTTTCATGAGATGAGCACTGCTGACGATTCTCAACAACGATGAAACAGCTGTACAACGCTTCTCCGCTTTTCAGTATAGACTGGCTTCACTTGCAGGACGAATTCTCCACAAAAATAGTGAACCATCCTTGGTTCCTGTGGGGACTGAGATCGCAGGGTATTTNAATAAAGGTGGATGGGGGAGGGACTTAGTGCTAGCTTAACCCAATCATTCCGAGGTGCCTACAGCTCCAGACATTCAGGCAGGCAATCTGGACAGAAACTGACAACAAGAACGCCACTGGCATCAGCATGTGGTTTAAAGGATCAGCGAAACATGCGTGAAACGAAAGAGACAATAGCCATCTAACATTCATGTACAACCGTGAAAGGCTGCTGAAATCCAGCATGTTTCGCTAAGTTCTCAATTTTCTGATGACCATCGAATCGCAGTACAAAGTTAGGACAACGTTTCAGAAGGGTTTGGTAAATAGTCGGCAGTTTTTTATTTGGGCAACGTTTCAAAGCTTCATCAGGCCAAGTGAAGCAGCTTTTGTGTCAAAAGCGAAACGTCACCCAAATACAAAGAAACTACCGATTGTTTACCGGGCCCTTCCGAAACGATGACTTCTCAATCGGTTTCAAACCTTTTCCAAAATTGGGATAACTTTGACGAGCATGAATCGTTGAAAAATACAACTGACAGCCCCCTCCTACCACAGATATCGTCATTCAGCTGTAGCACGCTTTCGGTGCCTAACTCCCACACGTGTGTGTTGATATACGTGATAGTAGCCGGGGATGACCTTTGACCGCGCTTGGTTATTCTGTCGGGCGGTTCCATTGGTTGTTCTTTTATCCCGTGTCCTCATTCGCCGATGCCTACGTGGCCTTGGAATTTATTGATTTTATTTTATTGATTTGATTCCTGAATAAAATCAATAAAGGTCACAACGGAACTCGGAAGGACAAAGGTCAATCCAATACCGACCAGACTACGACGGCGAGGGATGCTAAATTCCAAAATCACGTGGGCATCGGCGAATAAGGACACGGGATAAAAGAACAACCAATGGAACCGCCCGACAGAATAACCAAGCGCGGTCAAAGGTCATCCCCGGCTACTATCACGTATATCAACACACACGTAACACTACTGAACGCACAACCACTGACCCACCGCTACGCACAACTACGCACTGATGATGTCACCTCGATTGGTGATGAAACGTTTGCAACCAAATTGCCCAGCCCAGCGAACAAGCCAACGACCATCTACGCTCCCTGAGCTACCGACATTCTCCTCTATAGAAAAGGCTATCGCTCTATGGGAGGAAGAGTTGTTCCGTATATAGACCCCTCGACTGTCACGTGTAAGGGAACAACGCTGTCACTCCTTCCAATATTGATTTGACAGAATTCGGGAAAAAACGTAACATGCGTCGAAAGAAAACTCCGCTTCTCCTCTGCTTAGTCCAGGGCAGAATATCATGTTGGGAAACACCCAGGTTCAGTTTGTATACAACCCTTTCTCCCAAGACCAACTGCTGTCGTATTCGACTGCAGTTTTTAATTGGTTGACATGTTCTGACTTTGAACTGCGAGGAAGACTCGATAAAGCTCGCAGCCCCACGCCTCGCCCACAAAACTTTCATGGACATTTGTTTCAGTGAACCAAACAGAGGACCTCACGCTACTTCATAAGTTGCGATGCTGCCTTTGCAGACCATAAGCTCAACGGCCTGGGCAAACAAATCATGCCTGTTGCATCGTACAGCTGCGTTCCCCTGAATTTGTCTGGAAAAACCCAAAAAGACAAGTATCGGTCACTGAGGTAATACTGTGGTTCGCACAGTTTAGATGATTCGAAGGGATAGGCAAGTTGTAGATCCACAATGAACACCGCTGAAGGGTAATCCTCATAACGACGGAAATATACGCACGTTAATCCAAAAAATCTGGAAGATATTAGATTACGGGGTTATCTAAATGACCACTTCCATGAATTTCCACACGTAAAACCTGGTGCAAATTTCGCAGTGATGGAGCAGTACAGTGCCCGTCGTAAAGTAAGACGCGGACCTCCTGGATTTCCGTTTCACACATGTTTTGGTCCTTATGCCATGAGAGAATTTTCGCTCGTGGTTACCGTTGTATCAACTGTTCTGTCATTCCCACGGAAGCCTTGCAAGCGGTGCACCAAGTCGTGCCAATTCACTCGAAGTTTGCGCGAACTTGATTGCTTACTTCTGGCCAGACTATGTCCATCCAACTTCACATACCTGACTCCCGTGTATAAAACCGATTGGTATGGCCAATGAAACCTAATTGGAAACCTGAACAGACCCCCAGATAATGTAATGGCTGACACTGGCCTAACTATTGACTCTTGCACGTCAATATTTCATTGAAATCATTTCACTTACCCCATTCTTTATAGACGTCTTAGTTACTGATTTCACACATATCGTGTTGTGGACAACACACTGTAATCCACTTTTCCTGGAGGCAAGGGATCCAAACCCGAACAGTGCAGAAAAGAACCAGTACCTTACATACCCCCGCTCCATTGCAACACGGCATGATTGTTGGATGTTTCAGTGATAGTTTTCAACCAATTATCCAATTGACTTTGGCTTTGGAACTAGCCGTATATGGACGTCCTAACAATTGCGATCCGCAGTAGAAGCCAACTTCTGCTGTTGCGTACCTACGGGTGAACATTTATCGCATTGATTTAGCTACTTATTTATGGCAAGTAGCACATTACGTCAACGATACTTCGAACGAGTCGGAGGCGTCGTTTAGCACAGACCACTCTGAGGTCCTGTGCGGTGCTGAAGTAATCTATCCCACCAATCGAGACATCATCTGACTCAAAATTCAAATGGTTTCGTCCACCAGAATTTCCACTTCTCTTGGACTCAGCTGTACTTGGTTTTTGTATCACAGAGTAAGGAACTGTCGGGTGATTGCAGTTTATGAAAAATTTACGCATTCATGTAGGCTGGGGCTATCTGAATAATCATGTGTGGACTCGGTAACTTGG